TTTGAAATTTTCAAATGTCAAGATACACAGTCTCAGGTTATAGACCTGTCAAGAAAATACAAAAAACTTGAATAAACCTGTGTTAATTGTTTTAACGAATCATACCTTATTGTCGAGAAGTTCTTGCTTCGATTTTTCTAAATCTTCAATTTGTTTTTTCCAGAAAATGTCTCGTTCTTCAATACTTGATTTTACTTTTTCTTCTAGATTCTTCTCAGCTTCCTCCTGACAATAAAAATCATTATTTAATATCAAAATCTCATTCAAGCTAGATAGTATTCACTATAGTGACATTATAGTATAGTCACAAGCCATGAACCAAAGGTGATGGCAAATAAAAATAGGTTAGATAACATCTATAAAATGTTATAGTTCAAGACTGCAAGCAAATTAAATAATCAGCTATAGTCAGGTGTCAATAGATAGAATACCCATTCTAGATAATTCATGATGGAAATAGATGACAAAACTTGGTGTTACCAATAAACCACCAACAATAAAAGATTATAATACCTGTATAAGAGTTATGGCTGCTGCCTTGCCACGTGATAATTCTTGGACCAATTTTGATTTTTCCTCATCCATAGACTGATCTAAAATTTCAAATTCATCCATCAATTTCTTCTTCTCATCTTTTAGTCTGTTGATTATTTCTCGAGATTTTTCAAGCTGATCTTGAGCTAAATAATAATCGAGATTATTTTTTTAAAAAATGGTGGTCATAAATTCTAATCTATGTTTACTTCCAAATATATTCCAGGAAAGAGGTTTGACCAAGAATCAGCTGATAGACAAGATCCTTGAGAACCACTGGTAACTTTGTAAAATGGATGTTTATTTCTTTCCAACTGTACAATATGACAAAACTTCTGTACCTGATTTTTTAAGTTTTTCAATCTTGCTCTCTAGCTCAGTATTGATATTTTGAAGGGAAGATAACTCCTCATTATTGTGATGTAATTGTTGTCTGATTTCATTTACTTCTTCGTCTTTTTTCTCAATTTCTTCATGAACCTTGATAAAAAAAAAAACACCCAAAAATCATTTAATGAAGATGGCAACATCATGCAGTGTCCAATTACGGGTCAACCTTCAGATCTACTTTTCTATATAACTTATAATTCAGTGTGCAATGAAGGAAACTTTCTTGTCTTGACAAGTTTTGTAACATGATAAAGCAGCAACAAGATCCACAATAAATAGCTTAATTGACAAATACTGTGATGAAGAATAATTTACTATTTACCCTTCAATTCATTTTGAACTCATCTAATTGTAATCTCTATGATGTGTCATTAGAACAGATGAGCCTACCTGTTTTTTAACCTCAGCTATAGCTAACTCTCGATCTGTTTCTAACTGAACTATCACTTGTTTTGCTTTTTCTATCTGACTATGTAGTTTTGAAATATCAGGTGTGTTTCCAGCACCCTGCAATAAAACAAAAAAACAGAATGCATCATTCCAAAACTTTTCAAGTTCAAACCACATGGTTTATATCAACCTAACTCAGATTTTTGGTCTAATGACCAATAAGAATTGTATGTTTGACAAAATAAAATGCTCAGAACAAATTCAGGGACACCAGCCGATTCATTGACCTATTGGTGTATAGTAAATTTACCAAATAAACCATAATTAAGACTTTCTAACAGGAATTGTATTTTGATTAACAAGAACAAACCTTCAATTTCTCCACTTCTTTATTCCTATCTTCTAGTTGTCTCTGTAAATTCTCTTTTTCCTCAGCAAGCTGTAGATTTTTCTCTTTATTTGATTTGATAGTTTCTTTACACCGATTTAATAATCCTTCTAAACGTTTTACCTACCAAAAAAAGATAAAATATTTAAGGTCAACACCTTATCTTACAGAAAAAATCGGGGTTGTTTTCTTTTTCTGGACTTCATCAATGCATAAATGGAGAATACAATAATATATATCTACCAAGATTCCCCATTCATTGATGCAAAAATGTGACCAGGCATTCTGGATGAAAAAAACATGTCCAATGTGCCACAGAGTGTGCATGCTTTTCCAATAGTGAAATCATATAAACACTTAATTCTAGTGGGATTGCAAAAAAAAATGGATTATATTAGTGTCCAGATTAAAGAAGCCTCTTTACATTTATTTTAGTTTATTAGCAATATCTTACCTTTTCCTTTGCCACAGCCAGTTCATTCCTACCCTCACTGACAGGAGGTGTTTCTGTCTTGGTAGATTTTTTAGGAGAAAGTTTGGCCTGCAGTTCATCTGGAATTTCTTTTCCTTCTTTTAATAATTTCACCTGAGAATATAATAAAAACCTTAAAACCTCTCATCAAATATCAATAATATCTTCATATTATAATTCTACATGATTCCTTACCAACTGCTTTCATTTGCTTCATTCTGCACAACTGGTTCTGAATGATTTGTTTGGAGATCTGGACCCTTTGATAAAGATTTGATCAACTAATTCTGGACATTTATTTTACCTCATACTATTGCAAAAAGTTCCCCTTTAGATTAATCAGAAATTTAGACATCAAAACATACTGGTTATGTACAGATGGGAGAACATGTGTACCAACAATTTAAGCAAACAAAAGTTGCAATATGTTGTTACTCAAAAGTTAGCATAAAAGTTTACTATTTGCATAAATAATACAGACCTGCATATTCAAAACTTTCACAAATTCTTCTTTTTCATCCAACATTAGTTGATAATTTTCTTCTAGATCTCGTTTAGCTTTCTGATCTAACTGGATCTGCTCCTTTAATTCTGAAATTCTTCTGAACGCTTTATCTTGACACTGGGTAAGTGTGATCTGAATAACAAAGAATTAAACATTACACATTAGCTTCACAGCAGGTCTAGATAATGTGCTGCTTAGTCAAATCCATAAATCTAAGGATAAAACAAGCCTCTTTGCAGACTCAAATTCATTAATCTATTTTTCTTGCTTTCAAAGTTCCAAATATCAGTGATTAGTATCAAATTTACCTTTCTTCAATCAACTTTGTAAAATTATTAAATTTTAATCTATCTTTATCTACAAAATATTAAGCATGTAATATACCTTAAATTTATCTTTTTCTTGTGCCATTTCCTTATAAATATTCATTAGCTCCATAAACTTGGTTTTATATTTGACTGATCTTCGTTCATATTTCTTGATATACAGATATAAATCTTCTTTTGACACAGATTCCAGATTAACTGATGTATCTTCAACTTCACTCTCGATATCAGACGGAAGTGTATAATGCTGGTTGCCAGGAAAGGAGAAATTTTGAAAGAAGGAACTGTCACTGGTAACAGAACTGATGGATGATGTTCTAGAACGAGGACCAGTTGGTGTTTCATCTCCTCTAACAGAACTAAAATCTGAAGCGGTCTGAAGTATAGAAAGATATCCTGTGGTCATTTACTTAAACTCTAAAATTTTCATAAATTATTCTTCTCATTTAATGAAATCTGTATTACTTTTCAGAAAGTGAATTGATCTCAAATGACCTGATACAGCAAATATTCTTATGACTACATCTGTTTGAGATCAGCACATCATGGAGACCAAATTGCTAAATGTTCAAATTTCAAAGCAATGACTCTGTGACTAATATATTAGGCCCCAAACCAGTTATATTATAAACAATCTTACCTCATAGAGTGAGCTATTTGGTGTTTCTAGTGGAATATCAACCAATTGTCCTGTAGCTACTTCACCAGTTGTATTAGCCTGGGCATTCCCCACTGCCCCATTTAATCCATCCCCACCACCTACTTCCTGAGTGCTGGCCCTCTCTGGAGATTTAATGGGTGTGCTCTCTGCTACCGGAGACCCAATATCTGCTATCTTCTCATTACTCTGAAATGACAAATTAAAAGATGAATGCAAAATGGTTGTAAAACAAAGTTGGCCTATAAGTTTCTGACTGAAGAATGACCATCAACAATAGATCAACAGGTCTTGTAGATCTACAACTAATTACTAATTCAAAATGTTTATGTAAATAAACTTATTTTTATAATTGTTTGTGACTTAACGCTTAAATATTTTCAGTTGAACTTTCAATAAAGGTAGTAGACATAGGCTATACATCTTTATGATGACCTACAGATATAGGTATTTCAAGCTCTGAGACTAAAAACTGATTTAACGTCACCTTTTTAAATGTTTAATTCTAGGACCACAATTGCTATATCCATTAGGAATCATCATAAGGTGAAGGGTGGGATGGCTGATAGGTATTGAGAATACATTGGGGGAGGAGATTATTATTAGTTATGCTAGAACTTAGGATGTATTATCAATTTCAATGCAATGGACATCCAAACAAATCAATGAGGTGACAGGTGTGTCCTCTTTTACATTTTACCTGTGAAATTGCAGCAACTGCTGATCTAAGGGGAGTATTTTGGACTCCTTGCTCTAATCTCTTTTTCAGATTTTTGAACATTTTGTCCCATATGTAAGATTAGTAGGTTGTCACGAGCAATTCATAATTTTTATCGACTTTTTGCCTACACGGATATTATTGTTGTCTGCTTTACTTCAATGCGCAGGTGCGACACGTACGCCGACCGTAAAAATTGTGAAATTCAAATGAATGAGAAAACGAAATGAATTTAGTAAAGAAAACTTTCGTTTCTGACAAAAGGTTAAAATTTGTACACATCAATGACTGCGCTTGCGTACATCCGGGTTATTTAAAAGAGAAGTGTCATGGAAGGTTTGTGAGGATTAAAAAAATGACGAAGTTTATCCCCTCTGTGTTTCTTAAAACCCCTGTTGGATAAATACGATAAATGTCTTGAGGTTTCGAATTGTTTTATCTAACGACTTTCTCCATTATTTTGACGTGTTCTGTAATTTTTCACCAAGGAATTACCTTATGTTCAAACTCGACGTGTGGGGTGTGTTTTACCATTTTAGAAAAGGAATAAAATTGCCAAATTTTGCAGGAAAGTAAACAGTGTGATAATATATTTTGTGGCAAATTAAAGACTAAGACAATGAGTTCATCTAAAGGAAGACAGCGGGCAAATGTCCGGCAATATTCAGCAGAAGACCAGGCATTGAACCAAATTTCTGCAGAGGTAAAATACTATCTTCACATTTGTAAACCCCTTGCCTTGGCCCTTTTCTGATTTCTGTCTTTACGTTTAGTATTTTCACTTTAATTTTTCTGTTAAGGTGCAACATCTGTAGGGGGATAGGGGGTAGAGTCACAAATAAACAGATGATTAGTTTGATTCCATGTCAGAACTTTCCACCATGACTGACACTATATTTTTGACAGCTTCAGTCTGGTGTGTAATATCTCTGTAGGTAGTGTACATGAGTTTTATTATGCATTCTTGAGAAAATTTATCATCTTATGTCACATACAGTGTACTGCTTCTGGCAGTAATTCTGGCTTATAATTTCCTTGGATATGTGTCAAAAGTAAGCTTATAGGGAATCTGTGAATGCAGAAGAATAGTATTTGTACAATATTTTTTTCTTGGCAATAAGAGATCAGCTAGCTGGTGTTACTATAATGTACTATCAAATTTCTCTCAGCTGATACTGGTATTAAATGTGGTTATATTATACTCTGTGATACAATGTTGATATAATTAGCACTAACAAGTTAATTAATGAAGTTTGTCGTTAGATATACTGTTAAATATACTGTTAATTAACGGTTGTAATTAGAGAAATAAACATTGTCTTAATCTGATATAACCTACAGATGTCTTTCATCAACTTATGACTTCTGTTTCAATTCTCTTTAGGTGCATCTAAAATTATTTCTGACTTATTTTTGACTTTCAGGAAGATTCATGTTAAACTTTAATATTCTTTAATTTCACCATTTCATTTTCGTTAATAGAATTTCTAACTTGGCAGTTATTAGTGATCATTCAGTAAAAGTAAAATATTCTTCAAAATATTCACTAATGAAATTGCATGAAGACATGTTTTGTAAGCTTATATTACAGTAATACAATATCCTGGATCTAATAGTACTGTTTTGACCATGTAAAGAATTTGATATAAATCTTTTTACTTGCTATTTTCATCTACTTACTATACTTCAAGTTGCTGATTGAATACAATGTTTTATTGGAATTTCTATACCGATATATATATAAAGTATTTGAATTTCTAAATTATTGGCAGGATTTGTTGATTTTGCCGCTAAAGTTTGTTAATTTTGTTGGAATTTGTTATTTTTGCCTCTAAATTTCTTGATATAAATTTGAAAGAGAAAGGCCTGGGGGTGAAAACAAGATTGATTGAGTGAGTTTGACATGTAGAGATTAACAAGATGTGTGATTTATATCACTATAGTCAATATACTAAGCCTACTTATATGTCAATAATTGTGTAATCCAGGACAGCTGACTTGTTTAACATATACCCTCTCTTATTTTTAAACATTAAAATTAAAACTGTGATTCTATGTTGCTGGGAGCTGAAATAAAGTTTTATCAATTGATACAAAGGTCTTGTTAGAAAAATATATCTAGTTGATTAAAATAATTTTTTTTTTTATCAAGAACAAGAATACAAATTTTATATAGAGTATGGGGTACGAAATTCATCTGACAATTTTCCTAATAGTTTACTAAACTTTTTGATACAGTATTTGATTGAATTGTGATATACCATGAAATATAAACAAATGGTAAAAGTCTGATGACAAAACAAGAAAGATGACATTCCATAAGACAGATATGAGTTTTATATTGACCTCTAGCTAGACCTGTCCATCTTGACTAGCTTGAATACATGTTATTATTATTATAACACCTTCGCAAACTTTTTAGCTCCACTAGCAATTTAAAGGGACAGACACACCATTTTTTTCTACCAATCGTACCTTAGTCTCAGAAATCGAAATTTTTTAGTAATAGTGTTCACAGCTCACCATCGAAATTTGAGCCTGCAAATCCATGTGTATCCATTTCCAAGTTTGAAAAGATTAGTCTTTTTTTCTTGAGACTCTGCCATAATATATAGAAAAGACATCTAATAGAAATAGAAAGAGAAATTCCTAGTTTGAGATATTTTTAAAGGAATTCTGCTATTTTAGGACATTTCTAGTACTTCTGAAGACTACATATATTCAAGGCTCAAATCAACCCGCAAAAATGGCGATGTAAAGTGTGAAAAATGTACATATACGGCCAATAAATTTTAGAGCATTAGTCTGGTGTTGACTCACTGAAATTTTTTTCTGTTATCCCCCCATCCCCTTTTAGAGAAGTCACATACCATAGTTTATATGATTCTTCTTCAATGTTTTTGATATAGTTTAATCACATATGACCATTTTTACTTGTGATTTGTATTGTTTGGTAATTAGTTCCCTTTGCACAAATCCCTATGAAGTGGCAATATGCTAATGTTACAGGTATTTCTAGTAATCTTCAGACCATGGATTTGATAGTCTCTACAATAATATGATACAGAAGAAAAAGGGCTAGAAGGAGGAGAGGGGGGAAGGAACAGCAAGCATCTGAAAATGACTTGGAAGATACACCCCTCAATAATAATACATGATTAGTCGTTGATATAACTCCTTTGTAAATATTTTCAAGTAGGTCATAAGATAACACTCCTTGAAGGTGAATATAAATCATAGTAGACATATTTAGTTTCTTGTGGTAAGAAAAAGGATCAGGTTGATAGTGGAAACAGGGGAGGATCATTGGGAAATTAAATGGAGTTTTAACTTGCCAGAAAACAACATCAGGCTAAAATTTTAGAAGCCCCTCTATGTAGTGTGCAATGAAGTAAATTTATTGTCCTATCTGAATCTCTGAGTTGTACTAGTACTCGTGATAATCTTTCATTGAATAAATAAATAACCAGCAGTAAACTATATTTATATATGTCTGGACTAATGGATTCTAGTGGAACTGGTACAAGACACATGTTTCAACCTGGCATTAAAATCTATATTTATTAGCGTCAGGTCACATTTTTACACTTTACTACCAGTTTATTAGATAACTTACCTATTTATAACATATATCTTTTAGTTGAATTTGATTTGTGATTCGATTGCTTGTATATACTCTGCTCTCTGACTACACTGTTTTCTGGCAAACCCTTTCATATGATTTGAAATATCAATTTTACAAAATACTACTGAGAGACTTAGATTGTGATTGGGTTGATGAAAATGTCATTCAGTGGAAAAGTTATTATTTGTAAACCTGATTTTTCAGAGGGGAGTTTTCATGTGAATATTTTTTGGGAGGGAAGATTATTCCATTTCAAATGTAAAATCACTGTTCTTGTATTTCTCTATCATAAAAATAAATTCAAAGCTCAATGTAGTTAGACTGTAGGAAATGGTATTTTTTATGGTTTTTGACAAAACTTAGTTAAATTGTTTGTTATCAATCAAAAATGATCCCCCGAAATAAAGAAAAAATCTATTAACACTGGTTTTTTCCTTCTTCAAAGTAAAAAAAAATGAAGCAATTCTTAGCATTCATTTTGACCTCAAAACCTTGTGATTTATTTATCTTTGCAAAATATTTAAAGCTAATAGTGTTATATAAAAAGATTAAATCTTATTCAGAATTTAGTCAGGTGGATATCAAGAATCTGTCTTGACCTTTTCTTGTTGATTTTGGACCTCACTCTTCTCACTTAGTGAGAGGTTGGTAAGATCAGCCCTCTGACCTCAAACATTCCACATTCTTGCCTTACCCTCCATCTTACCAAACTATTTTGTGCCTTGTTGGGTTATTGAAGATAAGCTAGGAAAACAAGGGTAGCTTATTAAAAAGTATTAGCTTTCTGAAAATTAATGATTTCAGTGGATTTTTGGTAATTATTTGCCACAAAATTAATGTGAATATCTATTGTTAAATATTTTAAATTATTGAAATTTGAAAACACTATGCAGTGAGTAATTAGGAAAGTTTGCTAAGGGACAGCGTAATTCTTGAAGTTAGTGAATACTGATGCTAACCAATGAAAGGAGCTTTGTAGATAAAAGTAGAAACCTCAAGTGGTATTTTACCAGTGAATAATATTTCAGTGTGCAAATAAGAAAAATTATGTTTGTTTTTATTTATTCTCCTGTCAATAACAGGTTCTGGTGCCATGGAATCTTTTATCTGGTAATGAGGGGAGACAGGAGAATCGATCTTGTCAGTAGCGGTAAAGAATTTAAGTATGAATAAGGTGTCACATTACATCTTTAACATGAGTGTTTAGTCCCCTGAATCATACAGTCAAATTAATAACCTTGTGACAGTAAGCTTACTTAAAAGGTGTTCTTTGACTAGCAACTTGTGATGCAATTAATATACCTTAAATTGAACCCAGATTGATATTGATCCTTGATAGATTTTTGATGGAGTGTTCTAGAAATCCTCTCCCAATTTATTTTGTTGGAAAGGATGATTTCTAACATGTTAAGTATGTTTTGTCTCTCAATTTTGATCATAGGATTCTTTTTCCAGAAGAGGGTTTGTTAATTGTATGCCGCATCAGTTGGTAAGAGGTATAGGTGCAATATATTATATCTGATATCTGATACTATAATAACAATACTACCTTCAGATAAAAACTCGTGTTTAATTTTCTCTACCATTGTCTAAACATCAGCTGAGCTGATTCAAGATATTTATAGTAACTAGGATGTCATCTGATTCAAGATATTTATAGTACCGGTAACTAGGATGTCATCTGATTCAAGATATTTATAGTAACTAGGATGCCATCTGATTCAAGTTATTTATAGTTACTAGGATACCATCTGATCTAATCTATTTATAGTAACTAGGATGCCATCTGATTCAAGTTATTTATAGTAACTAGGATGCCATCTGATTCAAGTTATTTATAGTAACTAGGATGCCATCTGATTCAAGTTATTGATAGTAACTAGGATGCCATCTGATCTAATCTATTTATAGTAACTAGGATGTCATCTGATTCAAGTTATTTATAGTTACTAGGATGCCATCTGATCTAATCTATTTATAGTTACTAGGATGCAATCTGATCTAATCTATTTATAGTTACTAGGATGCAATCTGATCTAATCTATTTATAGTAACTAGGATGCAATCTGATTCAAGTTATTGATAGTAACTAGGATGCCATCTGATCTAATCTATTTATAGTAACAAGGATGCAATCTGATTCAAGTTATATATAGAAACTAGGATGCCATCTGATTCAAGTTATTTATAGTAACTAGGATGCCATCTGATCTAATCTATTTATAGTAACTAGGATGCAATCTGATTCAAGTTATTTATAGAAACTAGGATGCCATCTGATTCAAGTTATATATAGAAACTAGGATGCCATCTGATTCAAGTTATTTATAGAAACTAGGATGCAATCTGATCTAATCTATTTATAGTAACTAGGATGCAATCTGATTCACGTTATTTATAGTAACTAGGATGCAATCTGATTCAAGTTATTTATAGTAACTAGGCTGCCATCTGATTCAAGTTATTTATAGAAACTAGGATGCCATCTGATTCAAGTTATTTATAGAAACTAGGATGCCATCTGATTCAAGTTATTTAAAGTAACTAGGATGCCATCTGATTCAAGTTATTTATAGAAACTTGGATGCCATCTGATCTCTTGTCATTTAAATATCTGTACATATGTAGATGTATGTCAGTTGGAAAATGGCAGCTTTGATGAACTCTAGTCAATTAAACAACATTGTCATTCTAGCCTCATAGTAAATGAATACATGTATATTAAAGTGTTTAGTCAAACATTAATGAACTGACTGGTAGACTGTAGTAGATCAAGTATCTGAGAACATCTGGTGAAGTAATATATTGGTCTATATATCATGTTCTTATCTTACACCACCTATTTATCTTGTTACTTATCTTGTCTTGTAAATGTTGGTACTTTGTTACCTTTCTACAGATTGAGGTAGGGTGGGGGAGGGAGGGAGTGTTTATTGTTATAAACCATGTTCTTATCTTACAATCCCCCACCCCACCCACTCTTTATCTTGTTACTTATAGATCTTGTCTTGTAAATATTGGTATTTGGTTACCTTTCTACAGATTGAGGTAGGGAGGGGGTGTCTATTGTTATAAACCATGTTCTTATCTTACAATCCCCCACCCCACCCACTCTTTATCTTGTTACTTATTTTGTCTTGTAAATATTGGTATTTGATTACCTTTCTACAGATTGAGGTCCGGTGGGGGAGGGAGGGGGTGTCTATTGTTATTCACCATGTTCTTACACATATTTAACATATTTTATGTATGCTGATTCTAGTATTTTCACTTTGTTATTGTGTAATTTCAGGCCGAGTCGAGACTAGCTGCTAAAAGAGCAGCCAGAGCAGAAGCCAGAGAAATTCGTATGAAAGAAATAGAAAAACAACAAAAAGAAGTAAGTCTGTTATTTTGTAATGGTCCATGTTTCTGAACATATCTTCAAAACTATATATTTTGATAGAAACCAATATAATTCTGTTTGATACAGGTCATTACATGACTTCTACAGTTTGGGCTCATTTCACATGCAAATATCCAACAATTCAAATTGTGCTTTGGTAAACTTTCCATGAGAACCAGATGCCAGTTTCTCTGATACTCATACATAGACCTTGAAGGCCGTTTTAATCAATTAAATGCCCAATGTTTATTTTGTAGGCAGAAGAAAAAGAAGCTAATCAGTCTAATGCATCTTCAACCAAGGTAAGTCTGAGGTATAATGTATTTTTCTTAGAATTCTGAATGATATAACAAAGTGTCGTGCTGCAGACTGTTTAAATTGAACTTGAAGATCCCTTGATCTTTGGACTTGAAAAAACATCCAACATTGCACATATCCAATTATGTGCATAAAAGTTGTCTATGGCACCCCTTTGCATTTTATTTTAGTGTATCTTTCTGTATTGATAAAAGAAATGTCAAAGCAGCTTCACCAGACTGAAAATATTTTGAAAATTAGACTCCTAATTCAAATTTATGACTGTTCTTAAGGTGATTTCAGTCTACAACCTGGGTTGATATTGTGAGCCACCCCAATCAATGAACTCATCAATGACCAGTACAGATAATAAATGATTGATTTGACCAATCAATGACCAATACTTGATACAAATTGATTGATCTCTATCTAGAATATTTGATGACTTTTTAATCCCTCATTATTGATGACCCTTCCTCTACCACAAATTCTTACATGTTCAATGTAATTGATTTTTAGGTTGAATTTTTAATACCTCACATGTACATTTTCTCTGCCCACTATCCTTTTAATGTATGTACACATTATTTAGATATGAAACATAAGTTAATACAATAAGAAGAATTCAATAAAATGTAATCCTTTTCTAGGTAGAATAAATTACCTGTTAAAATGATATCATCCAGGTCACAGTACATCAGGTGTTCAAGATTCTATCAAGAATAATTTTCTATACTAGTATAATACCATCAATTATTCATATCACACTATCTAGCATTTGAAACAATTAAAAGTCTACAGATTTTTTCAGACAATTTGTACTCTCAGTCATACATGAGTGGTTAATTTGACCAAGGCTTGACCAGTAGGCTACTCATTGATATTTATGTAAACAGTTAATAATCCAACGGACAAATTTTATAGGTACTGACGTGTAAAAGTACAGAAATGAACATTTGGTTTCTTGATTTCAATATCTATTTATGCTATTCATTTTAAGTGGACTGCTTGTATGATGCTTTGAATTACACTTGATATGCACAAGTACCTTTTCTGACTGAAATAATTTACTCTAGTTAAATTGATTTCTATAGGCCGGAACTGTTAAAATAATCATGAAAAGTTTTGGGAATACCTAGAAGAACACTCTCTGTGAACATTCACAAAAACTTAATTTTGAGGAAGAAATTTTAACTGAAAGTGAAATTTGCCCACACAGATTTTATTGAATATGAAACTACATTCACAAGAAACACATAAGATAATGAAACTAAAACACCTTGCTCCCTGTTGATAAATTTCTAGAATTTCCAAAATTTGATAAAAAAAAATTCCAACTTATTGTTATTTTACACTGAATCTCCAAAAATTGATCACAAAAAATAGACCGCTCTTTTCAACTCTTGAATTTTTTGATGACAAAAGGTGACAGTTGACTTAAAAACAAGATTTTTTTTGTTGAATATAAAGACTACTGCGGTAGTGAAACTATAATCTCTCATTATCTGATTAAGTAAACTCTCCAAAATGCCCACCTTCTCAATCAGGAAGTGATTATATAATATAAGCCTGTACCATTATTTTATTGTAAGTTAATTTGTTTGTTTAAATGATGGATATTAAATTATGAAGCTATATTCACAAATATACAAAGTTTGTTGTAAGTTTGATTTTTATTTCATGTTATCATGATAACTTATATCAGTAAGAATTATTTGGAATCAGCATCTTTATCTGTGATGCTTGAAATCTTGACAGCATTGAATTTCTTGGCTTAAAGATATACTATCACTTAGGATGACCAATAAATTAAAATTTGTAATCTTGGTCAAAAGGAGTACCGGTATATAATCATCAGTGGACCTACCTGGTGTCAACTGTACAACAGAATCTCTTATTATTCAATAAATATTTTAAACTTAAAACTGAATCATCCATGAAACTAAAGACTACTTTTGACAAATATTTTTTAACATTTTTCAATACTTAATTTAATGAATTAATACACTATTGACCAAGTTTAAATTTTATGTTCATTCTAAAGTATTCCTTGAAACATTGCCCTAATAATTTTGTATTTGAATGTTTTTCAGGTTCGAGAATATGATTCACGGAGGGGCAGTGGAGATTCCACAGAAAGTGATACAACCAAAGATCCTAAAGATAGAAATTATAAGGTAAGATTAAAAATGACATAAATCCTTTAGTTTTCCACTGAATATGATAAAACTTGGTCTGTAGGTATGTGATGAAAAATGAAGTTAAATAGTGTAAATACTATATAGGTCATTGACTTTCAACCTATTTTCATAAAATTTGGTATGTTTTAAATGATATCAACGTTTTGGCATCAAAGGATAGTTATGGAAGACTCGCTCCCCCTTGGTAAAGCCAGATAATAACCTCCCAGGAGTGCAGTTAACATCTATAAAACTCTTATCTTGATACTGATTGTAGGAATATTCAAACATCTAATATCTAGTTAATAATGATAAAAATTGTTCAAATATACTTTAAATATTACTCTTTTTACTGTGGAGTTCAGAATGGGAATCATATTAAAATTCTGCAAAATTTAGTAGAGCATTTGGGACTGAAAAATCCTAAAAGGAAAATTTGTTGTAGTTCTTCAAGTGACTAAGTCTGAAGTATTTTTGAAATGTGAATAAACTTTCAGTGATTTTGAGTAATTTTAAAGCATGAGTGATTATTTAGAATGATAATTAAAGTTATTATTTATTAAATTAATTTTTGTGTGTAGTTTTGAATTAAAATAGAATATCAGTGTTCTTTGTGAAGAGAACGTGAAATATGCAAAATTTAAAGAAAGTTTAATGGAAAATAATTTTTTATGCAGTTTTATATCAAACAATTACCTTATATTAAAAAAGAATTAGGTTTTTGGAGTGTGAAATAGATAGTTATATTATGTGCTTTTGAAATTGAAATCAAAGTGTTCTTTGAGAAGTAATAATCTAAAGATTCCTCAAGTGTTTTGTACAGGACTAACTATTTTGGATTACTGTAGTGAAGTAAAGATTCAAAAATGTGGCGAGCTAGATATAGTATTAGAAGTATTTACTATGAAATTAATGAACACCATGCTCAACTGGTAAGGCAGGCATGGAATCGTGTATCTATTGTTGGTTTTTGGTTATAATTTTTTAGTCTGCAAGTTAAAATGCTGCTTGTTAGAAAGGGTATCTTCTGATTTGTCAAAGCAGCTTCTGGAATCAAGACTCTTACCCTCCAAACTTGAGTTTAGGAAATCTTTCCCAGCATGGATCATTATTTACAATTCAGATTTTTCAACCCAATTCCCCACGTTAATGATGTAGGTCAAATTGAAAAACAGAAGATCTTTCACAGAATGTATTTGATCCTTCAATTGTTTAAAATAGAAAAAGTAAAAGGTGTTATAGTACAACTGCTCCTGGCAGAATTTTCCTTGTACCACTCCCTGCTATGCCTCTTAATTTGTTTTGCTGCTCTTTGTTATGCAAGTTGTAAGTTAGTTTTACATTCTTCTTTGTTTGCAGCAAGAATTACGAGATCTTCAAGATAAGTTTAAGAATGCCATGATGACCAGTGCCCAGCTGGACAATGAGAAACAGTCTCTAGTTTATCAGGTTGAGTTGTTGAAAGATCAGTTTGAGGAACATGAAGAAGGATATTTAGAATTACAGAGAGAATATAAATCCAAGTGTAGTGTGAGTATCTTCACTCCTGTTCAGCATTGTCATATAGCCTCTATATATTGGAATTGAATCCGTCATTTCATGTTTAGTCCCAACATATCAATATGACATGAATCTGTGGGTGCAGGAACAAAATTTCTAATTTTCCAAATTTTACAACATTGAATAAATGTTGACAATGATTACTAAAGTTAAGTTTGAATGAATGTTTAACAGATATCTGTATTCCTTAAAATCTGGATTCTTTTTATTCCTGTGATTAATTTTACAGGAATTCGAGTTACAGAAGCGATCGTTACGTGAATTAAGTGGTGAACATAGTTTAATGAAATCACAAGTGGAATATTTAGATAAATTATTAAAGGTAGGTGATCGTCATAAAACTTGCTGAACTTTTGTATTGACTTTTTTGCTAGATCTTATGCTTCTCCCCAATGGATCTTGAGTTGACCAAATTGAGGTGAAATGAGGTGCTTTGCTAGTTACCGGTACATCCATTAATTACGTAATGTATGAAAAGATAGGCATAATACTCAATAGGGATGAAAAGGAAAAAATTGAGATTTTTAGCCCAGAAAAAAGAATCATGATTCATGTTAATTTATTTGACTTTCAGGAAAATGGATTAGTGATAATAACAGCAGAATCTGGTGAAATGTCCTTACAGAAAGACCAGTCAGCTATTCCCAGTGGCTCCATATCCACAGGAGCAGCTTTACTTTCTGCTGAAACCATTGAAATATTGAAAAAGGCTGGGGAGGGATCTTTAGGTACAAAAACTAATTTAAGTTCAGGGCAAGACCCTGATTCAAAATCTGACAAAAAATCTGATAGTTCAAAAAACACTGTCAATGACACAGGACAAAAATCAGACACACCTCATGTAAAAGAAAGTGTTGAGCTTCACCCTGACTCTGTCATTTCCGAGCTCAATTCAGAAGAAGATAAAAAAGTTTTGGTTAATTTAGAAAAGGACACTGCATCTGACGAAGTCGACGGGCGAATCTTTTTAAAACCTTCCACATCATTGGCTGATGCTGATAAGGCTAGAAATTCAGAGCAGGCTAAGACCAATGAGTTGAGTTTGCCACGAGACAGTAGGGAAAGTACAGTGGAATCAGACACTAAGGGATCCCAGTCTGAGGGCGATTCAGCCCTTGACCAATATTCAGAAGACGTTAATGATGCTTTAGAAAATGTCACATTAGATGATCAAATTCCACCATCCCCTGATCAGAAATCCAAGAATAAACCGCCAGCTCTTTCCACCAATTCTCTCTCTGTTCCCACCACTCTAGGTCAAAAATCTTCAGTTTCTGATTGCGAGGAGTTTTTTGATGCTCCATCTACTCCTTTGCCATCAACTCCCTTGCCAGATGTCAATGATGACCAAAAAGTAAATCTCAACACATCCCCAAACAATGTAAAAACTGTTGACTCTTCAAATGAGAAAACTGACATAAAGGAAATCACTTCAGAAACTCTTGATGCAGATCTGATGAGCTCTTTGGTTCAACCAACTCCAGCCAGTAAATCAGAGCGCAAAAAGAAGAAATCAAGATCTGAAGTTGAAAATATTGCCATCCCTGATAATCTTAATTTAAAATCAAATGACACACTATCACCTAAGTCAGAAGTTGAAAAATTGAAATTCCCGTCCCAAATTGGGTCGTCTGGCCCTGAAAGCTCTGAACTGGACTCTCCAAGACCCAATCCTCCAAAAGAGGAACCTCAAAATTCAAAATCTAAAAAGAACAAAAAGAAAAATAAAAAGCGCAAAAATGAATCAGAGACTCAAAAATTTCCACCAGACACTAATACAAAATCTGCAGATGCACAAAACAACAACTCAAATATTTCAGTCTCAGCAGACACACTGCAAAATTCAGAACCAAAATCAGAAAATTCAAATCAAAATTTTACTTCAGATTCCAAAATATCAACCTCAAATAATCTAGATCTAAGATCAGATTCCAAAAACTCCAATGCAAATGATCAAAACTCAGCACAAGTCCAAGCAACTATTTCTGAAAAAGACCCTCCTTTGGAAGAAGGGAAGGGTGGCAAAAAGAAGCGTAAGAAGGGGAAAAATAAGGGCAAGTCTAAGGGCAAGCAGGAGTCTGTTGATAATGTAGTTGAAAGTAGTTCAATTGTAGGAGCTAGTTCTGCTGCTTTAGGCGCAATTTCAGGTGTATTGGAGGCCATATCTGGTGTGCTTGGAGTAAGTGGCTCTGAATCAGGACAAAAGAAAGTTGAGTCAATGGAAAAGGAAACTGTTTCTGATGTACCAGTTGAAACTGATCAGAAGTCTGGGTCCATTACTTACCAAAATCAGGGCTCAAGTGTTGATGATGTGGACGTTGGAACAATTAATATTAAATCTGAAAAGACTAAAGATCTGTCCAATGGTGCTGAAGCTTCAACTGACATGGATGTTGGCATAGAACAAAAAATTGGATCTGAAAAGAAGGCTGAGGTAGAAGATGTGAAATTTGACATTGATGGATCATCTGTAGATTTTGATGAAAGCAAATCAGATCCTGTGACACCTAAAGCTTCAAGCAATGAAGCAAATGAATCCTCAAATGATCCAAAAGTCGAAGAGCATGATTCTGATGAGTCTAATTTGAAAAAAGAAATCAATGCCAAATCGGCAGAGGTTGAAGGAGCTGAAGACACGCCTGACGAACTTGGTGAGAAGGAAGAAGAATTTGTGGAAGCTGTAGAGGAATTGCCAGTGAGTTTTACAGATAATGAGCAAAACATTGAGAAACAAAAAAACAAAGAGCCTAATAGGCAGACTGATCCAGAAAAATCAAGCGATCAAAGCAAAGAAGAATCTTTAATTGAAAAAGATAACGCTGAAGACCTTTCCAAGGAACAATCTGATGTTCCAGATTCTGACTATTCCTCACTAGCCAAAAGGAATGTTGTACAAGAATTGCCAGAAGTTAATTTACCTCCGGTTTCAGAAGTTGGTTTGGATGGAAAGCCTGTGGATGGGAATCCTGAATATGAAAAAGTCCCTAAAGAAGAAGCTCCTGTGGATGGAAATCCTGAAGGTGAAAAAGACTCTAAAGAAGAAGCTCCGGTGGATGGGAATCCTGATAATAAAAAAGAATCTAAAGAAGAAGCTCCTGTGGATGGGAATCCTGAAGGTGAAAAAGACTCTAAAGAAGAAGCTCCGGTGGATGGGAATCCTGAAGATGAAAAAGACTCTAAAGAAGAAGCTCCTGTGGATGGGAATCCTGAAGGTGAAAAAGACTCTAAAGAAGAAGCTCCTGTGGATGGGAATCCTGAAGGTGAAAAAGACTCTAAAGAAGAAGCTCCGGTGGATGGGAATCCTGAAGATGAAAAAGACTCTAAAGAAGAAGCTCCTGTGATTGGGAATCCTGAAGTGGAAAAAGACTCTAAAGAAGAAGCTCCTGTGGATGGGAATCCTGAAGTAGAAAAAGAATCTAAAGATGTAACTCTTGTGGATAGGAATCCTGATGGGAAAGAATTAAAGGGAGAGGTTCCAAACTCTGAATCAAGCTATAAAGCAGGGGAAAATTCAGAATCAGAAACAGGTCAACAGTCTAAAGAAGATGTTCCGAAAGCATCATTATCTTTTAATGCCACAGCTGTGAAGACACATGAAGAACAAAATGAAAATATTTCCAATGATGAAAAGGGAGGTAACACAGAAAAACAGAAGTCTGAACTGAACAATTCTTCAGAAGAAAGCAAACAAGCAGACGCAAAATCTGTTCCTTCTTCAAAATCATCTCCAACAGTAGACCTCATTGATCAAGCAGCTGAGATGTTAGCTCAATTACAGAGATTAAAATCTGGCAAAAAAGGCAGGAGCAAGAAAAAGAAGAAGCCTGATGAACGAGGGGGTGATGGAGACCTCAAGAACGAGCAGGGGCAGCAAGGATCTAAGAAATTTACTGTTAAAGATGTTAAAAGTAAAGAAGTTTCAACTGTAGAAGAAAAGAAAAATGACCCAGAAACATATGATGAGAATCAAAAAGAGGTAAATTTAGAGATGCCTACAACAAATGAAGATAAGAAAGTTGAGATGACTACAGATTTGGATGCATCTTTTGAAGAAACATATGAAGAACCATCAAAAGACTCAGCAAATAATTCCAAGTTGGAGACATTGCCCATATTTGAAAGCAAAAAAGAAGAAATGACTACTGATTTGGATGCATCCTTTGAGGAGACATCTTTAGATGCAGCTAAAGACTCTCGGGCAAATTCTGCAGTCAAAGAAGCTGAGACAACTTCTGAAGTCACAATAATGACCACAGATTTGGATGCATCGTTAGAAGACTTAACAAAAGATTCCAAATCTGATGAAGGGAAAGCAGTTGATTTAAATGAATCTGTGGATAATGAAGAGTACAGCTTTGATGATATAGATGATGTATTAGGAGATGATAGTGCCACAGCCCTGCCGAGTCCAACAGTTACAGAAACCACAAGTTTAGCTTCAAGTAGATCTTCTTTCTCTAGTCTTAAAGCTCCTGAACTATCTGAACCCCCTAAATCACCTAAAGTGGACAAAAAATCCAAAAAGAAGAAGAAATCTGATAGAGATTCTGCAGAAGTTCCACACAGTCCGACAACAAGTCCAAAAGACGATCATAACAAAAATGGTGGAGAGAAACAAAAGAAAAAGGGATTCCTCAAAGGATTTTTTAAATGAAAAGATTTTGGTGGTACTTAATTTCATTCCAAGATTCTTTGTCTTTTACCATTTCCACATCCTTGTGTTCTTTCAACTTATTGTCTTGATTGAGCTATTTTTTATCTGATTCAACACATGTTCAGCTTTTGTGAAATTGATTGCTGTTTAAAGTTGTGATTCACTTTTGTCTTGCTAGCTGGTCACATACTGATATTTATCAGAATTGGTCACAAGTGATAAATGACATTGGCATTTGGTAAGTAATAAAGCTGTTGTCTATAATAGCAGGGTCTAAAATGATCTCTTCTCTTGCCATTATTTGATATTTAAAGATTAAATCAATTTTGCATCTATATGTATTTTTGAGTTATCAAAATAGCTAATAGGAATAAATCCTGAAGTGTTTGCTAAGTGTGTGTTTTGTCTATTTGAGTTTAGAATTATTTTGCTTCTTTAATGTTTTTACTCTGTGATTCCTATTTTTTGAGATTTTAGTCTAAATTGTTAGTCGTTTGCTAGTTTTCAAATTTATAAGGTGTTCAAAATGCTTTTGTTTTCAAATTTTTGTATATATTTGAGTTGTTCATTTTAGTTTATTTCATGCTTTGATTTTAGTCAGAATTGTGTAGGTTTGAGTTTAGCTGTGTGCCTCTCTGATACATAGATTTTATTTTGATAAAAACTTAATGCTTCTGGTCACAAAAATTGATTTTTATTTATAATTGATATAAGTTTTTTTGAAATTGATTTTTCTTTTTTCCATTTCTGATTAATTCTGAATTTTCCTTTAATATTACTTTATCATGTACAAATGACATGTTTAGATATATTTAATGCTTAATATTTATTTTTATATATAATGTATAATGTATGTGCATATTACAAATCTAATTATAATTCAAAATCTACATTTGCATATCATTTACATACAAACACCATTCACAACTCTTCAATATATCAAAAAAGTTAATCTTTCCATATATTTAGTGACATGTAATCAATTTAGATTACATAGAGCTCTTTGACAAATGTCTTAAGTTTTCATAAGTTTTTATTTTGACTTGTTTTGATTTGATTTGTTTTACAGGTTTTGGAATTTTTTATTATAGCCAGCGTGTTGTTATCAGTTTTTCAATCAAAATTTTAGTACATTAAGAGCTACATGTCAAATATCTTTTAAAAATATCTAGATGCAGTCAGACATGACTGGCTGATATGATTCTGAGTTAGAGATACGTCCAATCAAAGTGCCTATATTTTACCCTATTTTCTTTCATATCATATTTAGATGGGGCCCTGTTTCACAAAATTTAAACTTGGATAAATTCCATATTTATGAAAAACAGCAATTTGATTGATGAAGATTTTAGTGATTAACCAATCATTTGACTGGAACACTACTATCATCTAAAGTTAGGATTTTGTGGATCGGACCCAAGTGTGTTGTAAAACTGAATGATTTAAACTAAATATATTTACATATAGTGGCATTGCCACTCTTGTTGATATGTTAAATATTTTCTAATTCAGTTCATGACAGTGCTATATGTTTTTTGGACCCAGTTTCTCAACAACAATGATACATTTTAAGAAGCACAGTAATCTGATTGGATAACTAGTTTTACCAACCAATCAGATAACTGGAGGAAGTTATTGAGAAATTGGCTCCTGCATTCCCTTCATGTCTTCAATTTGTTCTTCACTCAAAAGTTGGCTTTGTTTTTTTGATGGTATACCTTTCTGACAATCAGTAAAGATCCTTAACAGAATTCTTAACACTGATTATCTTTAAGTTCTGGTATTATTTTGGCTGGTAGATTGAGCCTATAGCATTCTTGAAGAAGTGGCCTAGTTCATTGGTGGATATGTGTTATACCTGAAAGACTAGGTTTATAATCTAGGGAAAAAATTGAAGATAATAAAGAACAAATTGTAGATGTGAAGCTATTCTTATTTATGAAAATCCATGGCTCACTCTTCACATGCCACTTTATTGCCGTGGAAGACATGTTATTGGTGAAGTAGAATTTGATTGGATTCTGTAAGAGAAGGGGTATCTCAAAAACGGTGATCTGTAACTTTGGAGATATCTTCACTATCTCATAAGTAATCCAATCAGATTAAACAAATACATCCAGGGCTAGATGACATGTAGAGTGGCTGTAGAATTTAGACTATGACTTTTCTGTGATATAAATACATAATTCTATTGACATATTCTTTACTTATATATATAGATATATATATCTATTAGCAATGCCAATTTTTTTTAAAACTATAATTATTCATAGCATTGAAACATACTCGAAATATGTTATTTATATTATTCAAGGGATATGGTCATCTCAATACTTACTTTCCCAACAAATGGAATGGAATTCTGAAATTTAGTAGAATTTTCATTCTGGAAGGTTTATGATATCAATACTGAAATTGAGCTCTTGTTGAAATTTATAAGGAAAGCCAATATTTAGATGAGTATATCCCTTTATATAAGTGTATAGATATTGATTCCTAGTATATCTGCATTAAGTTCATTAGCCATATTTGTTATATATCCACTTGCTGATGGCCAAAATAAGGGTTTGTTTTTAGAGAATTTATCCTAGATTTAAAAATGTTGATTAAGGGGGTTTATTAAAGAATGTTAAGTGAAACTCCAAATGATATTCCAATGATATTTTAATAAGCAAAGTAATTTCTTAAGTACCATATTTCTTTTCAAAACAGTAAAAGGAATATTGTGGTATAAATGGCTTTATGAGTTTATAGAAATTTATCACTTTGCAATATTGAAATTTGATGTTTGGTCTGTTTTAATATTATATTTAAATTTATATAACATCATTGCAAGGTATATTGTGATCACATCTGCTGGTGCAATAATATCTAATTGTAGATAAAGCTGACATCAGATTTTCATTTTAAAAAGTGTTAGAGTAGCAGTTTTATAGATTAGATGACTGTATGGTCAGATATTAGTAAAATATGTGCTTTGAATACTTAACAAATTGTTTTTTTCATGTTCATTTCTTTTATCAATGCATAGTGGCAATCTAATTTTAGTCATGGCTTCAAATATTTATAACTCAAAATTCTGAAATAAACTTATATTTTATTACTTTTCTTGTGTTTTATTTCACAAACATCAATTAGATTAAATTTGAGCCACTATGCATATAATTAGAAATGACCTTGAAACAGGAGTTTTGTTGACATGAGAAATGAGCAGTCATTGGTTTAGAATGTAGGTGTGGCAGACGACACTTCCCGTTTAGACAATATGGCTTGAATTTCATTTTACTAATCTACTCTGACTTCATTCATGAAATTTGGCTTATTGTTGACCTTTTTGCACCAAGGTTACACATGTAGCTCATACAGTCTTATTTGACACTACTTGGCTTAATTTGACTTCCTTGACTTAAAAAGAAAAAGCTTAGTTTAACGAAATTCTGATATTTTGTAGAGTGCTTACTTTTTGGTCCCATTGGTGGCTTAGCTGAAGGAAGTGTCAAAACTAAATGTACTACATATTTCAATAGTTCAAGTTTTTTACAAAGTAGGGCCTACCAAGTAATAATATTTGATTATTCTTTTATATGGCAGTGGTGTTTTCCTTACTTGCACTGAGTAGGTCATATTTCAGTAACAACTGTTGTAGTAGTTCTATTTTTTAAGGGCTTGTGTATAGAAATGTTCATTCATTGAAACTTTTATTATGGCAATTCAGTTAATTCAATTTAGAAATTTACTATATTTTGACTAAATAAGGAAAACTTAGCTCATAATTGACAAAAATGACATTAATAGAGGAAAAGAGTACACTTGGGCAATCCTCGGTAAATGCATGCAGATGTTAGCGACTTCTTTTAATCAAAGAATGGCTGTAGAAACTAATAACTGTAAATTTCAAAAGAATTGAGTACTAGCAATGTGACAGAGGTTAGGAAAGATAAACTAACAAAAACACATATACTGTAATTCTAAATAGTTATGTTAGGTTTATTTACAGTTGTGGACAGTGGCTCAAATTGTGTCTATTTTAAGATTTTGTATATTGTATAGATTAGTCAGTCTATTTACAGAGCTTGGTCTGTGTTTATCTGACTATTGTTCTTGATATACAAGATCTTCATGATATTTCAAAAAGAGTAGATGGGAAACAAATAGGCCTGTGTGATCCCTCAAAAGTAGATCAATTATGCTTGTAAATTCCCTTATTGCACACTGTATTGTGTCGACCCCTTCTTTAACCCAAATAAGTGCAAGGGAAAGTTTCACACAAAAACATAACTTAGTTCAGTTATAGTTTCTGATGGGAGAATCACTTAAATCAATATCAAATTATTGCCATTCTTACAAATCTGATGATTTTTCTAAATTAAGTTTTTGTGTGTTTTTTCAGTCACCCAGTCTGTATTTAGTTATTTGCAACTTTGTCTAAAACTATATTTCCATTTGAATGCAGGGTATGTTCATTGCATTTAAGGGACATTCTATTTCATTACATCCAATTACCATACAAATCTGAACAAGCAATTACCAAAAATCTCCTGGAAAGAATAATGAAATTGGTAGCAATACTTGTATAATAGTAATTGTGAATATGTGGAAGCCATCTATATCCCATTAGCTTGTGTTTCTGACTAGTTCATGACCTGGAACATTTCCTGTTGACCTCCTATGAAGAGACTATTTAATCTAAACTAGATGTTGTGAGTAGAACATATGTCTTAAAGGCATCTCTGTCACATGTTTACTTAACACTCTATAGCTTTAGCTGGACATAACCGGCAATGGTATCCAAAAGAGCTCTAAATTATGTTTACGGTGAATTTTTGATTTAAAATAATATACATGTAAAAAGAGAAGGTATATAGATGTGTTTAAGCTAATAGTAAAAGGACTAGCTATTTATATAATGTATGTAATATGACTAATAACTTACTCATAACTATGTTTATTTCATTTAAAGATACACTAGATACATTCTATTTTTAAATGAAATCGTATCACAAACACATGACAATATTATCACACTTCTTTAAAAAAGTTCAACAAAATTTACACACGTCATCATCAGATAAAATAATTAGGGAATACAGCAACAAAATATATAACAAAAGAAGAATTAAATCATACCTGCCATGCAGTGTGCAATAAGGGAAATTTGGTTAGAACAGCAGCATTACCTTATAACTTATAGCTTTTCAATCAGATCTAAAAGGTTTATAGATTGACATATGGAATTCCTGAAGAAATGGAAGCATATTTAAATAGCTTTTATCAGACTATGATATCCTTAATCTTTGACCCTAAAGTACTAAAACAGTAAATAGTATATTGTAATGTTGACTGAAGCTTTAACCTTTGAAGGTACATTCTTACCCTAGTTTGACTGAAGAGAAAAAAACAATAGAACAGCAATACTTCACTATTTATAACCTTTTCTAAAAAACATCTGTATTTTAGGTCATTTATTCATGAGGCTAAAGTCTTTATATTATAGAATATTCTCAGTGTTGATCTCTTGCACCTGTTCATTAAGCTTACTTTGTTCTAAGTCCTATATTGGAAAGTTTACCTACATCTCCAAATCTACCTTTCCTGATGAAGATTTTATACCTGTAACGCATGTTGACCATATGATAGAACCGTAATTTGATTTTGAACATTCATTCTAATCTATACTCATTCATTCACTCTGTTAATTTATTCATTTATTCATTCTTTTTTAGCAATTGTACTCTAATTAACCTACATGTATTCACAAATTAAAGTTTGACAATATGAAATTGGTTAATGCTATACATATATTCATTCACAGTTTATATAAATTGTATACTATTGTATGATATATTATATTGGTATGATTAATAAGTAACTCTATGTATGTATCTACTTTTAGACGAGAAGTTAAAGAGGCTGGCCCAGGAGAAAAAGCAACTTCATACGGAGGTGAGATAATTTTTCAGTTTTCTTTAATAGCTAGGAAATTCAAGTAAGATAAAGTATTAACTATTTTGGCTTTAACATAACTGAAGGCCATTTTCATGTTCTTTTGTTGTTTGTTTTGTAGATTCAGAAGTTAAAGAACGATATAGAAGAAAATAAATCTAAGAAAAGTGAAGACACGTCCAAAGTACCGGTTATAAATGGCCCAGAACAACAACTATATGAAGTCCAACGTATGTACCCAATCTTCTTGAATTGTTATGGGATTTCAAGGTTCAGATTCAGTATTTGAATGTGTTAAAATATATAAATAATAAATGTTATTTGTACCCTACAGGTGAGGCCAGTAAACAGATACATGATTATAAATGTAAACTACAAAAAGCAGATCAAGATTTAGCTACCTTAGAAGGAACTGTATGTATTATCCTCATCCTTTTTTACCCTCAAAGCTCAAACACCCTCTCTATGTTCGTATGACTCATACATAGGATGAGCTCAAACCTATGTATGTGGTCCTCTCTGTGTAAATGAGCTCAATACTCTTGGATGAGTGAAAACTAAACCATGTCTTGTAAACAATTAGGAAATAATCCTCACTTAGCATTGACTTGTATATTTGATTAAAAGAATGACTTTGTTTATTTTTAGGTAAATAGATTAGAAACCCAGATAAAACGGTATAAAACTGATTCTGATGCCTCAGAGAAACTAGAAGACGAACTCAAAACAGAAAAACGTCGCTTACAGAGAGAGGTAGGTTTTATTTAATTTCTGTAGATTAACAGAACTTATTTATTAGGTTTAACCTTTGTTTAAGATCTAGGTTTGATTATGATTGGCCTGACATAGAAATACTGTCTAGTAGTTCAGATGGGACAATAAACCAAGGTCCTGTGCGCTACAGGCTGTGCATTTCAATGATCCATTGACTGTTTGTAGAAAGAAAGAAAAAGTAGACTGATTTTCCTGATTGCACACTGCAAGGAATTACTTGTACATTCATTATTCCAATCATTCGCAATATCATTTATGTATTGAAAGAAACAAATATCCAATATGATGTATTCTTTCATTTCAACTCGTGAATTTTATTTCAGTTACGAGAAGCGCAAACACAAGTGGAAGAATTAACCAATCAGAACAAACATCTTGTTAAGCGATTAGAAAAAATAAAACAAACACGAACTCAGTTTGGAATTCCAACATGATGACGTTACACCACCATGTTTGGTTTAGTTATTTTATTAATTCTGTTACCAGTTGGACGTGTGAACTTTATTCTCTTAGATTCTTGCTTCAGCTTTATTTTCATTTCAACTCAAATTCAGTGGTGCGCTATCAAAAACATTAACATTAGGTATAAGGGGGTGAAAGCCGACCAGGCTAGCTCTTGGAAGCATTGGCACAGGCATCATCATTTTTCTTATCTTGAGGAGGATTCACACCCACAGCACCTAATCACCTTCCAGACGACACTGGATAATTGTAAAATTCAGCTACTTGTTGTCAGAAATATTGTGGCCCATTGTATGAAATATCATAATTTTGGTAAAAATTCTTGACTTTATTAGCATCTACCCATGTTGATCAACTTACCGGTATATTATAAAATGTTAAACAACTATATCTATCAACCAATCTTATTGCTTAAATTTTATTCAGTTAACATACAAAATCATTCTGTTACTTGTGATTTAATGTGGTTCTTGAAATAGTCGATTGAGACAGTGCTCAGAAACTCTGGCGGCTGTACTGGTGAACCTCCAAGAAATAAGTTATTTGGAATCTACTTTCGAAGAGCTCTTTTGTAAAATGGAATGAAGGAAATACTCTGGTGATTTGAAGTAAACTGTGGAGGAAATTTTCTGATACATAGAGAAGATTATGGTGATTTGATGGGTGATGTCTGGTAAACTGCCTGAGTAAAGCATTAAAATTGAAATTTACATATGTTCCTTTACCTCACTTATGTCAATAGGATATTCTGGTGGATAGAAAATGCAATATATGTGCAATGTAATTTTCCATTCAGAATGGTGCAGAAAAGTAGGATGCAAAGCTCCCAATAGGTTGGGACATAAATCACCATTTAATTAGCCTTTTAAGTGTGGAAAAGTAAGATGATGATGAAAAGATAAAATGTAAAAAAAAGTATATGTTACATCTATTAAAACATTTCAATTAGTACAAAATAATTATCTAGAATGTTAAAAACTGCTGAATAAAACAGACTATTTAAATGTGTGTTAATAGGTTTGTAAAGATAGATTTACATATTTGAGTGAAACTTCACCATTTAGTGATATACAGCTCTTAAGCCATGTATATAATATGCTAATAATTTCTAAAGAAAAATAAATTAATGTTACTTCATACTGACTGAAATAAATACTGTATTGAGATGGTTTCACAAAGCAGAGGCCAAATTCATGAAAACTTGACTTAAAATAACTATAAGATTTTTAACTGGTCTAATCATTAGAATTGATTTGGAATCAATCATTTTTAACCAATCAGATTGCTGTATTTCTTAAAGTCCTATTCTTATGTATCCATCTTAGTCGATTTTTTTTTTACACGTCTGTCTGCATTAGGTTAATCCACAAAAGGGATATAAAACTCCATTTCAATTTGATGTTGTTCCAGTCAGTAAGAAGCAATTACATATTATTATACCATGATAAAGAAAGATTAGAATGCATGTGCATGTATGAAAGTGTGTGTGTGCGTGAATCATTATTTAGTAGTATATTGTATAGAACTTAGCGGATTGTGATGATAATAATAATATATTAACTTAATGTCTTGCTCTCACCTAGCCCTTGAATTACCTGATATAGGGAATTACTTATTGTTGTCAACCATCCCACAAATTATAACTTTTCTATAATTTTACTTTATGAAAGTTGTTGAAAACTACAGAGCCAATCATTAAAGTTAAAACTCACAATTAGTAGAGCATATTTTCATATCTAAGGTTTAGATTTCTGTAATAAAGGCTAAATTCGTTTCTTATTATTATATTCACTAACAAAACTTAAATAATAACTGTCTTTTGATGAGTTATGCAAATTTCATAAGCTTTCTTGGAGAGAAATCCTTTCATTTCATTCACAGATGACTGGCACAAACAGCTTCAACAACATCCCTCACAATACTATATATAAAGTTTGCTACTTGATATTCGCCCAATATTTCAAACACGCTAGATAATTTTTATCACCTGACATTACAAATGTATCATGAGAAAAAATTGCATGAGCCAAAGTTTTTAGCATCATTCCACAAGAATCCCAAAGTTAGATGAATTTTTATTATTAATTTATGATTTTGAAACCTTTTGCATGAAAACAGTTCCTATTCCTCTCATGATGGATATTTTGTATTTATTTCACTAACCACTCTACTAATTTGAAAACAGTTTTCTAAAATCTTTGTCAGTTTGTAATTGAAAGTATATTGTTCTGTTGTATCAAAGGGTGGGATTTATATAACTTACATCCTTTGATAAATCAAGATGAAAATGAGAAAGAATTTTAGAATTCAGTTACTTCTGTGCCTTTTCTTCTTTGCTCATCTTATTTTAAAAGAATTTACAGATATTTTCTAGTCCTAGGGTATATACCATGGACAACATTTCTAGCTTATATTTGCACCCTTTTCAATTTCCAAACATACATCAGTGGTTCCTGTAATTCTGAAAACATGATCAAATCATGATTTCATTAATTATAGCACAATTATAGATTGGATATCAATTTTAGAATAATATCTAACTATAGAAGTAAAAAAATTTATTTACTTCACCCTAAAGTCATTCAAATAGATTTTATTACTGTTTTGAAGCCAATATTCAATTTCACATGGAAAAAATTTAATTAGAAAAAAATTCAATGCAATAACAGTAGATTGCTTGGTTATCTAAAATAATTTCAATTTATTTTATGTATGTCACATAGTGATCTCAGAATTCATTTTGGATTGGAAGTTAGTTTCTGCTTTTTGGATAGGAATATTGAAGTCAAGTACTTTATAAATATATTTTAACTGCTTATTCTTATAATTTCGTGCAATTTAGTTAAGTTTAATTTTTTAAATTAGAATAAAAAAGTTCAAGGGATATAGTCTTCTAAATGTTTGCCTTAATAATTAACACAGCTTATTTTGGTTCCCATATCTCTATTCAGAATTAAACACAGGCTTTAGAATTCCTATATTTTGACTAAGAGTATAAGAGAAATGATTTTATTTTCAAAAGTAGTACAGTAGAAAATAAAAAATGTGAATGGTGTTGGCATTATGTCCAGGCCTGTATGTCATCTTTTTCTATTTTGTACTGAATTGCACCTAGTCTATACACAATTTAAAAACAATATTTAGAGGACTATATCTGTTGAACTATGATTATGGAATGAAATAGAGTTGAATAAGAAATAAAGTCTGTATTTTTGCTTGATAAGATATGATAGAGAATAAACAGGTTGTTATTAAACTAATAAAATTCTACAAAATATTTTCTCTCCTTTTTTCTGTGGATTTTTAGTTTTTTTATATCTAAGGTACAACCACAATTTTTGTGCTTGCAAATTGTGTTCATATAAATATTGGAATTTTTTTTTTCATCTGTTTTCCGGATCATTGGCCCTGGAGACAGTCACTGAAAAGCTTGTCAGTGGCAAGATCAACAAGTCCCCCCTCCCCATCCCATTCCATTCCATCCTTTAGAGAGCTACTTAGGTGAAAAAGAACACATGAAGCTGAATAAAGAATTTTAAATCATAAAACACATTCTGGATTCCAACAATAATGAGTAGAAGACTCTAGGTTATTTAAACTATTCATATCCTCACTGGACAGTGAAAAATTCGTAATCTTCTGATTCTCATCTATATGTTGACTGTTGGTGGATTTTGGAATTACTCCTGTAGTACAAACAATAAAAAGGTTAAAGAGTATCATTTGCGTGTCAATCATGGATGGCAGTGTAGGTAACCCACACAAAAAACCTGAAACATTTGAATCAAATTAAAAAAAAAAATGTCATTTCAAATTGAGCTTTTCTGTTTGTAAAGCAAATGATTAGATGACAATATAGATAGCTGAAATTGAGCTCTATTTACCTATATTTTGTTGAATGGCCCATCTGAGTAAAACCTGGGCTGGTGTTTTCTGTAATTTTTTTGATATTGTGATCACAACTTCGTCTGTCAATAATTTATTATTGTCATCAGATGTACCTAGTGATGAGTATGCTTGGAAAAATATATTCTTCTCTTGACAAAATTCAATCAGAGGTTTCTGTTGTAGATGAGGATGGAATTCTATCTAGTAAAAAACAACATTTCAAAAACATTGACATCAGAATTTACGATCAGAATTGAATGATATCATTTGAGAAATCTGAAGAGAACAGCACCATGCAATGAAGCACAGTTTGCTATGACAATTATATGTGGTAAAGCGATCAAGGTATATTGCACAGCATGTATCCTGTTGCCATGGTATGTCCAATTCAAACAAATTTCCACTATTCCATGTCAGATAATCTGATCTGTATCAGAGAGAAGACATACCTGTAAGACTGCAGGAGGTATTGTACAATATTCTAACAATTCTTCTATATGTCTCTGTAGATAATTAGATACTCCTATATTCTTTATTTTACCTGAAGAAATAATGGACTATGGATATAATACATGTTGTCTACAAACAGAACTTCTTATTTTCAATTTTCACATCATGTTGTGGATTAAAATTCAAGACTGTAATTAGTTTGATGTGACCAAGTAAATGATGTTGAGGTTCAACATACTAATCGACTGAACTACAGTTTGTCTCAGGCCCTGTATAGTTTAATAATTTAGTCCATAGCAATAATGAGATCCTGATAACTACCTTCATTATAAAGTTGTTCCATAGCCTGCCAACTTTCACGGCGTAGATCTTTGTGTCTGGTATCACTAGGCTGTAGTCCCTGTCCTCCAGGCCAGTGTATCAAATATAAATCTAAATAATCACATTGTAGAACTTCTATAGATTTTAAACACGATGCTCGACATTTGTCTTTTCCATGATCTTTTGGACCTGATGAAAAACAATAAACAAAATTTATTTGAAAACTGAAATGAAGTTTTACATCCTACTGTTCTCATCCAGTTAATCAAGACTGGTGAATCCATGTTGTTACCAATGGACAACAAAATTGAACGAACTTTTACCTCCTACTTTTTTCATCCATATTGAACTAATGAAGACAGGCAAATTAATGCACTGAGTAATGAGGGAAATTCCCAAGACTGTGCTCTTTTGTAATATATTGAGCACACACTGTACCACAAAGGACTTGGGCTTATTGTCCTCTATGATGCTTTTTAATGTCAGGCCCTCAGTGCTACATCACTGACTGAAGGAAACCAATGTTGTAATTGAAAACATACCTAATTTACTGGTGATAAAAATGTCTTTTCGTTTCAGATCATATTTTGGCAATATTTCTTTTAAATTCCTTCCAATGTCAGCTTCATTTTTATACACACTAGCTGTATCTGAAAATTAAAGATTTGACAAATCAAAAATACATCATACCGTAGGCCTACTTCATATTGATATCAACTTTATTTCCAAGGATCCTGTCTGTCTACCAGCTGCTCCTTTGCTATAATACAAATAGGGTCCCCAGGATCCTTCCTGCCAGTGATTGTTGATATTTTTCACATTTTAAGCACCTTGAGTTATACTACAAGCATCATTAATCCTCAAGTCACGTCAATCTCAATTATATAAAAAGAATTTATAAAGATTTATTTCAAACCTATAGCTCTGTATCCTGATGATATTGCAGCTTCTAATACTGTTGCCACTAAGTCACTGCCTTTTATTTTAAACGTTCCTACTGAAAATAAATGGTGTTACATTAGGCCTTCTAATCTAGTTCTTCCAAGTAATCGATAGAAAATTGTTATGTTCAAAGTCTGCTGTCAGATTACAAGACATTAGGCATTCTCTAACAACTTTATTTAGATTTAAACTTAAAAGTTTAACACAATAGACTTAGTTTAAAGCTTAGTAGGTTGCCTCTGACAAAGTTTGCGAATCAAAGACACCTTCTTGAAACTAGTTTCAACGGTGGGAAATTAGGACTATACAAAAGTTACTTACATCCGATCAACGGTATTTTGTGTCCAGTGTTCATAACAACAGACATTGCTATTTTTATCATTCATCAACTTTAGATAGATTCCTAATATTTCAAACAATTGTTTTGTTTTGAACAAATTTGTAAACAATGCAGTTATCTGTCCTTAGCGTTTTCACTTTTATGGTCCAAGGGAGATAATACAATTTAGCATTTGATACTTAGAGGACAGACAACAATAAATTAAATGAATCATATTTTCAAAAAATTTAATTTTACTTTCGTTTTTTTTTTTCTAAATCTGATTGAACTAAAGAATAAGGGTAATGCCATGCAGTGTACGTGTACAATGAGGGAAAAATTACTGGGACATCATTGATGTGCACAGATAATGTTAGTTAAATCTGTGGTTTTAGCCTTAGAAGGTCAAAATAAATAAAAAGTTAACTATTGTTAGTTATTGTGAGTGATGTTTGATTAACACTGAGTTGTATTAATTAAGTAGCTAGGGGACAGTTTGATGATTTAGCGAGGTAACTAAGCAGCTGTTAATACGCAGTAAAGTTTGAATTATGAGGCAGACGCTCGATGAAGATATAAAGTTAGTGAGTGACATTAGGTGATATTTTGTAAAACCATCACCAATCAGGTTTAATTTTAACTCAGTGATTGTAAAGTTATGGTCCATTTAAGCCTTCTGAGCTAAATATTTAGCTATCCCAAAAATAGAACAGCAGAACCTTAAACAATTAGAATTTCCATAATTCTATCAGTGCTTTCCTTATTGCACACTGCATATCGTTGGATTTTTTTAAAGAGCAAATCCGTATGACGTAAAACTCATTCCATCATTCATTTAATCATAGAACTGTATACTGTTTTATGATTTAATGAAGATACTAGACTACACACCACAAATAACTTTGATTGAGGACACATTGATAAATAGAGTTACTTCCCTTAGACCGTAAAGTTCACAAGTTTGCCAGGCACGAAAATCTCGTGCATATCAAAAAGTATCTGGACTAATAAATAATATTTCTAACCCATTGTCATACAGAGAAATTTTTCAAATAAAGCCCACATTTAATACCATAGTTTTTCAAATTTTGAAATCAGTGTGATGGCTGGTTTTCTGGGAATATAATTTGACTGCTCAGTCTGAACTCTCTAAAAAATAAAAGCATCCATTTCTGTTGCAGAAGTTGTGAAAAATCAAAACTGAAACACCCCATGGGCATTTTGTGCAACAAACATTTACAAATTTTGCTAAATCCAATTGAATCCAATAGGAATATTTCTTAGTTTTGGATTTCAAGGATAAAATACCAAAGTTGTGGACTGAAAAAGAAACTCTGAAGATTCAATTTGTGCCTTATCTTTTCACTGGTCACAATTTTTTTTGAATACTGGTTAATTCACAAGACTCTATTTTTCGTGTAAATTGACAAGTTTCCAAAGGTACTTTATCAACAGCATTTGATACTGATGTCACTTTGTGTCTCTGTTTATCCCTTTTGGAAAGCTCACATAGTTAATATTTGTTTCACTCAAAGACTGTAAGCTTCTAGTGTTCATAAAAACTGTACTTGAAGATTCAGAAACCAATTTGGCGTGTTTAAGCCTCCAAGAATAAGAACTGTTGAAGTAGTGTTTTGAAAAGCCTTAAAGATTCTGCATTCCTAATAAGAGCCTTAAGCTGGATTGATATGTGTAGGACTCCATTCTCCGAGCTTCACTGGTGACCTATCAAAGTCCTGAAACAAGATGATGACAGAGCGAGTGGAAAATCTCCATTGGGTAAGCTATTATTTCCATCCCATTTTTGTTCAGGACTCGTTTCATAAAACCTTAGATGATTTAAGTGCCATATTCCAGCCATCTGATTGGCTACGGACCTTAAAATTAAGTTTTATTTACCATTTGGATAAGGAGCTTCCTATGATCATGAAGCCCATCAGTAATTTTCTCTCTCACCTCTCAATGCTTTACTTTCTATCACTGAACAGTGTCCCATTGCTCCGATAGGGCTCTTTCTCCCCCCTTTTATATCTATCAATTTAAAGCCCATGAATGAATGTCCAAAGCTCAAGGGCTCTGCTCTTTCCCCTATATATTTAAAAGCTGATATGAAGATAAAAAAAACTCTTGAATTAGCATGATGATTTCTTATATACTGTATCTTTAAATATAAATGATATACAAATGATGAAAAATATTTGAAATAAATTATTTAATTACATAATAACATTTATCCTGTGTTGGCAGGACATGCTTATACATTCCTGTAACATCAAACAATTCATGCTCATATAAACTTACAAAAGATTTTTTTGTTTGTGTACACTATTTATAATCAAAGTAGCTTCGATATTATATTTAGTTATATAAGCTTATTTGCCAAACATTTTCGACTTGTGCTCAAAAAAGATCATTAAAAAATGGTCAGATTACACAAAAAACAGAAGTTAAGGTATTCTTATGCATTTATAAAAAAAATAGCATAAAACATAAAAATTTCACTTTTAAGTCCTATTACACTCATTATAATAGCTTTGATTATCCATACAACTACAGCAATTTAAATAATGGGACTTTCAATCATTGGATATCCACAGACCACAGCCTTCTAATTTCACAGACATTGCTTGTTATATATATTAGAGCTGGATGATATAAAACTAAAAAGGATAACCATCTAAATATTTCTTTTAATGCTCACGGAGCTCAACCTCAGCAATCTGTATGACGTTTCAGAATTGAAATCTTACATCATCTTCTGCAATTCAAAACTAATGTATCAAAAACCTTTACACTGTCATATCTTTTTGAACGTTACCGACATTTAAATTTGCAGGTATTAGCAATATTATAATGTCATTGGTATTAGGTCATACAGCATTGAAAATGTTAATAATGCCCTGGAAGTGATGTTAGTCTAAACTGGCACATGATCATCATATTTAGAAATATATAAGCATTGTGATATAGATATTGCAGCAATATCCTCCAGCCCTTTGTGATTTTGAAATATACTCTGAAGAACCTAATTAACAATAATAATAATAAAATCTATGTTGGGTTTCCATTTTATAAACTTTTTATCTCAACCCAGATACACAAATAATTATGTACATAAATATAAAACAATTATGGAGACGATAATATGATAAATGATGCAAACTAAAATGAATAAGGCTATTTAACTGCTGCTTAAAAAAGCATGAATTCATGTTAAGGTGCGGTCTTTACATATAATCACTTAAATATTTGCTTTCCCAGCTGATCTGGAAATTGTAACTTATATAATTAAACTTTAAACATAATAACAAATGATATACTTACACAATGATAACAAATAACAAGGGTTAAGGGTGGGAAATGAAATGAGGAGTGGGAAATAAGTTGTCCCAAAAAAAAGCTATAGAAAACATGCAAAAGAGGGAAATGTTCTCTTTTCTATATCAAAATTCTTGGTGGAACAAACAAGGGGAAAAATTGTCTCAAATTCAATGGAGTGATTGACAAGGGAAAGTATGGGAAGAAAGTTGCCCAGACAAGCTATCACTCACACCTGTCTATATTGACAATATTTAATTTATAGGGGAAGAAGGAAGGGGTGAAATTTGGAAGGCATCAAGTTTAACATGATTATATCTGATAATGCATCTATTTTACAATATATATATATGCATATATTATGCCTTGCATATTCATCAGGATTGCTGATTTAGATGTTTTTGCCAGACAAGTTTGACAAGAGCTCTAGACTGTTGATTTTGTCGTTCCGTATTTGTCAACCATGTCTGACAAGACCTCTTGACTGTTGGTTTGTTAGGCTATTAGATAATCTTTACCAAGCCATACCGAATAGTTTTTGAGTAATAGTACATCACCCAAACATGTCCGAAAATCAACAACTCTGATACAAAGTAGGCATATATTTTTAGAAATATGCCTAACAAACATTTAGAAAATGAAGTTAAATGGAGTTTTACGTCTTAGATATGAGCCTACTCTTTTGCTGTAATGGTAAAATATCCATTATTCTGAATAAGAACACAATTAGCTTATCCTGATTTCTATTACCCATTCACAAATGTGGTTTTTCATGAATTTTTCGTTCACTTGAAAATTTTTTATGAGAGTTCACACTGTTAATTACAAAATAAAGTCTAAGCTTATAACTTATAACATTGTTATTTGGGCTTGTCAACTCACCATCTCTTTTAGAGAGTCCACATTGGTATAATGTTTCTTGAAATTGTATTTGCCTTTTCTTAACAAGAGTCCACTCATCAACCATTTGTTTGAATCCACATAATAATGTTTAATGATGTTTGGGTTTGTCAACTCAGCATTCCTTTCAGAGAGTTCACATTTATAATGATCTCATTCATATTTGGGTTTAAGTCTTTCAATGTTTATACCCAATCTTAAACAAAACATACACTTAACTTCTCAATTCCTTTTGCAGCATAAGGAGTAGAAGTAGAACATTCTGTGTTCAGGAATATCCCTGCTCTAACATACACATTCAATCTATTTAGTTCACCTTGGTAGGGTAAAGCTGCTTTCACACAACTACATCTGTCACAGAACTTACTGTCACATAGGTGTGAATATTCGCTTTTGAAGAACATTTTCAATCCATTATAATCGTCACAAACTACCTTGAATCTACTGGTGTAAAGGTATTTTACTATGCACATAGTTAATTGATATCAATATTTTTCTCCTAGAAATTTTCCATTTAGTTCTCATTAATATTCATGTGAAATTTGAATAAGACAATGGTAATTTTATGGTATTTTCAAAGAAAAATTCACCAGCTAAACCCCTCCCAACAAATATTCTGGCTTTTGTAAAAGTTGTTGGGTTTCCAATGATGAAAGTCACCATCTTTGATATATTATATCTTGTGCGTATTAATATATTCGTAAACTATTCACAATATTATTATACAAAAAAGCACTTTTGTGTACCACATTTGAATTTACATTCGGAAATTACTCCTTTCTGGAGTTACATTTTCCTGAAGTTTGCTTCTGTGGGAATTAGCAAGTGAGGTCAAGGCAAAGACGGCATCCATTTCTTTCTGGCGCATATCACTGTCATCATGGAAACTGAAAAAAAAAAATTCTTTTCTTTAATTTCGATAGGTTTAATAAAACATTATTTTCTAAGAGTCCCCATAGCTTTTATTGTCTGGATCATAATATACACACACCAATATTTTTCTGACTTACAAGCCCCTCGGTACAACATAATGTATTATTCTAATTGATCAACAATGTCAAGGATGGTCATTAAACATTTTTACTCCCCCAAAAATCACTTTTTGCCATCTTTCTTTATATATGAATCTTACTTGTCAAAATTAGAATTTGAAGGAACAAACAAGCTTTCATGTGATTTCTATATTTGTCCATGTTTCATGAAATAGTTACTAATGCAGATGCAAATCATCACCAACGATAGCAAAATTATATGAATTTGGAAATATGACCTCAGTGTGCAATGAGAACTTTTTTTGGGCATATTTCATACAACTAGGTAAGTTCTGTGATGTACTTGACTCGTTGGTAAAACTTTGATGGGCCAATTACATTTATTTGATTGTAGACAGTGTTATTATAAATTGGTTTTTGATTTCTCACCTGTGATGTTGGGTGATTCTATAAGTTGGTAGTTCCTGTTCTTCTGGGAAATCTGAAGAAATTTAACAAAACTTATCTTAGAAATATACAATATATGAATAAGAAATATCATAATTCTGTCATAGACACAAAAAACATCATTAAGACCTTTGCGAGGATGAATGTTGAGAAATTTAAGAAATTATAGTAAGGAACATCATGTTCATTAAATATCTCTTTCTGATTGTTTAAGAGAAGATATTAATCAAGAAAAGACCTGTTTGTCAAAAAGTATATGACTAAAAAGGAAGTACTCTATGGGAAAATAAAATCAGTGACAAAATTTCATTGTAATATTTTTTGGAAACGATACCCTGATATCAAAAGATATTTTTAAAATGTTTTGATGTGTTGGACAATAGGCCCCTGTGTTGAGTTATTCTTTTAATCCCAGGTTTTCTCACGTATTGAACAAGGTCGTGTATAGCTTAAATTTCAAAGTCGCTTCGAATTTCATCTTCAACACATACTTTTAAAGATCATTGACTTACTTAGATTTTCAAAGGGTTAACGAGTCAGAGTTCATCTTGCCCTTGATAAACATGACAAATATTTTTTGCTCTGATTTTGAATGATTAATAATTTCATTCGCCTTCTAAACAAACCGAACCCACACAATATATGTTTTTTTTTTTGGACTGAAGAAGGTTTTTAGTCATTGGTTCACTATCTATAAATCCAAAATCTAATCTTATGTTACTATTATCGCATGGAAAAATTGAGTTAAGTGCATTAACCACATCAAACCCCTACTTGAGCATGTTTTCCTAATATTTCAATAGGACACTCTATTCTGTGTGTGTATTTAATATTAAAATGAATTAAATATTTATGAATTTATACCCCATCCTATTTCTATAGCAAACTTAAGTTTTTGACCTGCACAGCTGTGGTTTAAGTTAGACATCAAACCATACTAAAGTTATCTGATCATAAATCTTTGTCGAAGGATATCTAGTTACTTCATGTTTATCATTAAAATAATTTGTTACAAATTTTAATCACACATTTCAGGTCTATTTATGAATTGAACAAAGTCCTAGAAGTTTGATCATGTATTTGATTTACATGGAATATTGTCAAATATTGATATCATTGTCTTAAAGAATCAGTATAATTTACTTGTTTCAGATGTCATTGACTTTTGAGAGTCAACAAATTAAGTATATTTGGTATCTTGAGTTGTCAACTAAACAGCCCTTTCAGAGAGTTAACATGTGGGTTTGGTAACATTTAGTATTTGGTGTTTTTAGCTTTCCAACCTGGCTTCCTTTACAATAATGTTTATTTGATAGTATATATATTCTACTCTATTGATTTGAAGGGTGTGTTCTAAGAGCACTAGGATGGAAGAAAAAATAACTACCAATACCAACCATCAAGGATGCGGTGTTGAATTCTAGACGAAGCAGATGATGTCGACATTTCTTCATAATCTTGTGACCCCAGAGACCCAGATTGATGTCTGTCACGTCTGTTCCAGACCAATTCTGCAACATTGATGACCCTTTGTGGGTCACCTTCTGAAGGTGGATGGAACCCCATAGCATCAATATATGCATTATCGTTGAAATACCGTTGTAATATGGTCTGTTTATGTTTCAAACTTGTCGTGGATGCAAAGACTGTTGAGCGCTGGTCAAAAGTAGGAGTGGTGGTTCGAGATGGAACAAGAGAATCTGATTGGTTGAGATCTGTGTGTGAAATCACCAAGGTGTTTTCATTTTGGAATGTTTCGTCATCATTCTGGACATCTGCAAGATAAAATATTATCTTAAAGTAGGTCTGCTAAGATATTGGATATAGGAAACTATACAGGCCTAAAAATTTTCAATCATTTTTTAGCTGTTAAGACTAAATTTCAATATAATTGTTTAGCTTTAAAACTAAATATACCAAACGTTGTCAGTCTTAAACAAATCTTTAGCTTTAGAATTAAATTTCCAGCTTTAAAGCTAAATTGTCAGCCTTAGAACCAAATTTTCAATCTTCAAACTTTCTTTACTCCTAAAATATAATTATCAGCCATCCCTAAATTTAAATTCATATTTTTGACCCAAAACCAAATTTTCATCCTTTAAACTCTTGATCGATATTGATAAATGACAGTATCATGCAAACATATATAGAACATAAACTTTTAGAATTATACAAAACTTGAAGATAAATTGTAGAGCTAGCCAACTTTTAACTTGAGTATAAAAACTGATTTCTTTATAATGGAAAAAATAGCATGCATTTGACATTTAAAAATATTTCAATCGACAAAAAAACACAACGATTACTTTCGACAGACTTCCTGTTTCTTGTAAAAACAGGAATAAAACAATGTTGTCGACACACACGATGGCGTCGGCTGATTTTAGCACCTGCATCCTGACGCATGCCTTTGTAGAAGTGACGTCTTTTATAAAACTTTATAGTGCCCCTATGAGTTTAACTTCGATTTGGAAATATTTATTCTAACTTAGTTAGAAAGAACTTCAAGAAACCCTTTTGTTACCAAAATTTAAGAATTGTCCCCCCTTTTAGTTCTGTTTGTTGGTCTGTTGACTCTAATTTGCCTTGTGAACGCTATAGAGATGCTTTTGTCTGATTTTGATGAAAATTGGTATTCCTAATATGTATATTGAACTAATTTCAATTATGATGTAGACAAAAACCCTTAGATTTGTGTACAATAGGAGAGGAATAATTCACAGCTCTTGTTATTTTGAAGTTAGTCTGCATTAGCCACTTTAACTATTTAAAACTTCACTCAAGAAAAAAACATTTAAAAGTCTAAAGTTCAAACCAACACCTGTTTAAAATTTGACTGTCACCTTTTTTATACTAGAAATTTGACTAGTTTTACTATACTACTAGTTAGACCACATTTTACTTTCAAATGTTAAACTTTACGTCAGCAAGATTTTAAACCATTTAAGTATGCAATTTATCTTTTTGAGTTTCTGAAAACTTTAACATTCAAAATTTAAATCATAAGTGCAAATTTACATAATAACAACATGTTGTTGCTCTTTACTCTTAGCTCCCACCCAGGGTACAGTCTAGTAGAGGTACCAATGAATCTTCCTTTGATAAACAATACTTAATTGAAACTTCTCAACATTCTCTTCATGGACAATGCCTTGATCTTTGTCATTATATCTAAGCCATTGTGAACTGTTCAGCTGAAGATATCTATTTATTTGACTGTATTTACCAGTAATATCTGTCTAGAGCTGTAGATATCTATTAATTTAACAGTATTTACCAGTAATATCTGTCTAGAGCTGTAGATATCTATTGATTTGACTGTATTTACCAGTAATGTCTGTCTAGAGCTTTAGATGTCTATTAATTTGACAGTATTTACCAGTAATATCTGTCTAGAACTGTAGATATATATTTATTTGACTGTATTTACCAGTAATATCTGTCTAGAGCTGTAGATATCTATTTATTTGACTGTATTTACCAGTAATATCTGTCTAGAGCTGTAGATATCTATTTATTTGACAGTATTTACCAGTAATATCTGTCTAGAGCTGTAGATATATATTTATTTGACAGTATTTACCAGTAATATCTGTCTAGAGCTGTAGATATCTATTGATTTGACAGTATTTACCAGTAATATCTGTCTAGAGCAGTAGATATCTATTGATTTGACAGTATTTACCAGTAATATCTGTCTAGAGCTGTAGATATCTATTGATTTGACAGTATTTACCAGTAATATCTGTCTAGAGCTGTAGATATCTATTGATTTGACTGTATTTACCAGTAATATCTGTCTAGAGCTGTAGATATCTATTTATTTGACAGTATTTACCAGTAATATCTGTCTAGAGCTGTAGATATCTATTAATTTGACAGTATTTACCAGTAATATCTGTCTAGAGCTGTAGATATATATTAATTTGACTGTATTTACCAGTAATATCTGTCTAGAGCTGTAGATATCTATTGATTTGACAGTAATTACCAGTAATATCTGTCTAGAGCTGTAGATATATATTAATTTGACAGTATTTACCAGTAATGTCTGTCTAGAGCTGTAGATATCTATTAATTTGACAGTATTTACCAGTAATATCTGTCTAGAGCTGTAGATATCTATTAATTTGACAGTATTTACCAGTAATATCTGTCTAGAGCTGTAAACATCTATTTATTTAACAGTATTTACCAGTAATATCTGTCTAGAGCTGTAGATATATATTAATTTAACAGTATTTACCAGTAATATCTGTCTAGAGCTGTAGATATATATTAATTTGACAGTATTTACCAGTAGTGTCTAATTAGAATTATTATCTGCCCATTACAGCTGACTATTATTCATATATGCCAGAAATTCCTGGAAATTAAAATTATCTTTATCTTACCTTCATCTTCATCAAAATCTTCATCTTCTGAACTAATACTGAACAATTCAGCATCCCCTTCAACGTATTGGTTATAGAGTTCTACACGTTCACTCCAGGACAATTCTGGTTTTTTAACCACATTCTTTAAACGTCTTCTGGCATTCGCAAACCAATTACTAATTTGCACTAAGGACATGTGACTGTTGACAGCCAATGAATGTTTCTGCTCTTTTGTAGGATAAGGATTATCACGATTCTCGTATAACCAACGTTTTAAAGGCCTAGCCATATCTTGTAGCGTCTGTCGTTTGTGGTGGATTTTTTCTGGGAATAAACGTCTGAAAATAGAGAGATGAAATGTAGTTTTACATGTTACTTTTCTGTTCTTTACTAGGCTAATGAAATGAAATGGAGTTTTCTGTACCTATTTGAACTAGTTTTATATCCTACAGTTCTGGATCTTTTTGAACTAATGAGTTTTTTGTGTCGAAACAATACGCTTCTAACCCCCCTTTGGAATCTCAGTTCCTGTAAAATGCCTTTTAAATTCATCTACACTTGGGTGCAGAGAGACTGTTTTTAGCTAATTGCCAATTCAAACATTTTGTGTTATGATTATTGTGAATTATTTGCAGTTTTCCATCTGTCCTCCATATTGGTGCTAGAGAGTTGTGTAAACATGTGAACCTGCAATTTCTATCAATTTTCATCAAAAAAATCGGCAACCATGTGATAAAGTATCAATTTCTGTGTTTTCTTACTCATATCAAGTATATCAGAGTCCAAATTCCGGGAGCATTGACCTTGAGGTACACAGGCAGGGAGTGACGGATGGGGTTTGGTTTGTTTCACATCATAGATTTCACTGCCATTTTTTTTCTTCAGTTTTGTAGAATTTCATGTTACAGCAGTAGCATTCAGATCAATACAAGTATCATAAGACAATGTCATCCCTGATAACATCTCATAGTGTGCAATGAAGGAAATCAGCCTACTTTTCACATTGCCCAACAGATCTCTTGATACAGTATCATCTCAGATTTAGAGAAAAAAATAGACCATTTCGAAATTATATACCCTTATAACAAAACATCCCATCTGTTACAACTGAACAGCCTCATTAAAAAAATTTACCAGATTTTGGGGGTCGCAGGGGTCACTGATATTTTAAATTTTGGGTGGATAGATGGGCTGTAAATGTCATGACTGAAACAGAATTGTATGTCATATGGAATAGCTTACTTCTTTCAGAGATTGAGTCACTGCTATCTATTCTATATACCCTTACACCCTATATGCTGGCTTACTATAACCATTTGCTTTACATTGTCTAGGTTAACTGACTGCTCTCTTAACTCCTTTCACCCTCTAGATTGACTAACTTTTATTTTTGGGATAACCCTTTACAATCACAAGTGTGACTTACAATTACCTAAACTATAACTCTTTTAAAATAGATTTACTGAACCCTTTACACCCCTGATGAACTGTGAGTGATAGTTATCTTTACATCGTCTAGGTAGGCTTACTGCCATCATTAATTCAAAAACCTATATCTAGTTTATATGTATAGTATTTTCATGCAGTGTGATTGTCACTACAAAATCAAAGCTTTTAAAAAAAAAATATAATTACATATAAAAGTCTGGGTCACAGATGTTACATTCAAATAGGAGATTGAACTTAGTTTTACATATTAATGGAAAACACACAGGGTGTACACACACACACACACTTGTCATGCATGTGCTTAATCATAATCACATAACATACATTGTAACTATCATATTTTTTAAATGTTTTTGGTGATTTGTTACTTGAAGCTAACAACTAGGGAAATAGTCTCTCAAAGAAATAATCATCAGCTTTGACAAACTTGTTTCAAAAACTACAGTGAAATCTGCTCAACAATAATGACATTGCTATAATGGAAGTTTTTTGATCTATGTGCTTTCTTTTTTTGTTTCCTTTCAAGGATAACCAGTAAACACAATCTGTCACAGAAAATTGTCACGGAACCAATTTATGTTGTGTCTTGTTCGAAGCTGGGATCAACTACTTTTCTGGATAATATGTAATATAGAGTGAAAAAGACATGCATTTATCAATGTTTTCTTGCCCTAAAAGAAGTAGCTAAAGATGATTTTTTTTTTAAGAAATGGTCATGATTTGAACTTCAAAGATGCCCCATTGTTTCACTTTTCAAATGTGTCAAGAATGAAGAATGGTGCTCATTTGTCAGAAATTCATGAAACCTAAAATCATTGGAGACAACCTCATCCATTAAATCTGACAGTGAAGCACAACTTCCTACTTTGGTAAAAGGGTTTCTAACCTGATGGTTCACAAGTTTGATTGCTAACCAAAAGGTTTTAATCTGGCATAGGTCAAGGTGATACTTTCTGATTTTTCAACCCTGCTTCTACTTCTAGTGATGCATGTAAGAGGGGCTGACAAATAAAGCATCTTGACAATTGGAGCAATCCGAGGCCCTGGTTGGTACAGACATGTTTGGGGAATCCTTGTAATTCAGTTGTAGTTAGAAAAGAATTGAGCAGAGTAGACCCCAAGTGCATGACATTGCCATTTTATTTCAATTCAGTAATAGGGTGAGCTTGACCTATCACAAAAGGTCACATCGCCCTCATACTATCACAATTACACTTGTTCTTGACAAATGAACAGGGAAAATCATTGTAACCTAATCTGTTACAAGCGGTCACGAAACCACAAACCAGAAAAATAGTAACCTGGATCTTCAAGTCTTAAAGGGACAGAAGCTCCATTTTGGGGGGTTGATTTGAGTCTTGAATATATGTAAATAGTTTTCAGAAGTATTAGAAATGTACGAAAATCGCATAATTCCTTTAAACATTTCTCAAACTAGGAATTTCTACAGGTGTTTTTGTCTATATATGACAGAGTCTCGTCTTTTAAACTTTCAAACGCTGTGAATACTATTATCGATTTGCTAAAAAAAAAAACCTGATTAAGGTAAAATTGGTAAAAAAAACAAATGGCACACTTGTCTTTTTAAATGCCTGGATAGTCTCCCTACAAAACTAGACTTGATCATCTTTTCACACCTTGAGCATTCTAATCACCGTGAACCACAAAAATCTGCTCTAGAACGTGATACAAAAATATTGTCACATGAAATATTGATTGGATCAAGGTTAAAGAAGTTTGTTAAAGCCAACTTAAGTGTTTGAGGTTAAAATAGCACTAGGCCAACCTGGAGGTTGTAAAGGGTCACCTAGAGGATGTAACCGAGCATTGTAATATTAATACTATGCCAACAGGTATTTGACAAATGTAAAAATTTAAAAATTTGAATAGCAATTTATCGCACCAAATTTTAGCTTTGGATAATAAAGTTCAAGCTTTATAACAATTAAATGACTTTCATTCCTTACCATTATAGAGTTGACATACATTTCTAGATTTGGTTAAAACTTCTCATCAAAAATATACAATTTGATTTACAGATCGTCATAACTTTTTGGCTAATCAAAAGAAGTATTGGATCACAATAGGAGTCATTCTGATTCACAAACTATAATATCTATAGCTGTGTTTTGACAGCCACAAATTATCTGGGGATGAGTCTGGACTGAGTATTACAAGAAGAGGTGGTCTATGTCCGGACCGAGGAAGGCACGGCATGGCTAAATATCAGAGCAGTGTAAACGTGCCACTGGGCCGAGAGGGCACGGCCCACTTACCCATACTTGATGACTCACCATTCTGGCCCAGTGAAAACAGTACACTGTAAGCAATACCAGCAAGCTGGGCCGAGTTTGAGACCGACCGATTACGGTTCAATTTAAGCAGGCCAATTTTTAGGGCAGTGCAAACACGGCTTTTGTATCAATTAGGTTGACCTACTGATACAGACCATCCTGGTTGAATTTTCTTGGTTTTATCCTACAATCAAGGTTGTTGGCTATTTTCACTAGGAACATCTGTCTAGGTTTTCTTTTATTCAATCAAATTTTTTACTGTCTTCTCTTTTATCAAGCCCAATTTTATCAAGCCCAATTTTATCAAGCCATCTAGGTTATTTGTCAATGTTTACTATATATTGATAATATTTTGTATGATTTGTGAGATTTGTTACAGGATGATCAATAAATGGTGTCAGATTTTGTAGAAATATTATAAAAATAATGACTAAACAACACTAGCTGTCAGTGGAGTTGTATTATTGATGGGGAGATTGCATGTCAGACAGATTGAATATCACTATTTAATTGCCTCACCCATGTTTCTTACATTATCTCACAGTTCAAATCTTTTTAATCATTATCTATACCTAGACTATAAATCAGTTTTCGATATTTTTTGTAGTTCTTGTATCAAAAGTAGCCCATTTTATAAATTGTGTCCCGAACGGAACAGCTCATTCATAGTGAGTCATTTCTTGTCTGCTTGTTGCTTTTTCACCCTGGTTTTATTTGTTGTTCTTGTATATAAAAGTAGCCCATTTTATAAAGTGTGTCTCTAGTTGCAGTAGAATAGCTCAGTTTTAGTGAGTTGGGTTGTCGTCTACTAGGTGAACTGTTGCTTGCTATCTTTTTGAATGACATATATAAATATTTCTCGTGATATTTGCATGTGTATTTTGAAAATCTCCCGACCGTTCCAAAAATAAGATTTACATCATTGTACACTTCATGACATTGCAGAAACATAGTCTAGAATGGATCAGGTTATATCAAGTTTTAATTGATACTATTTTTCAAAAAGGTTTATTTCTGATAGTGATGCACGTCACAAGGAACTGACATGGAAAAAAGTTTGGATGGAATTTCCCTCATTGAATACTGCATGATAAGGCACACATTATAAGATATAGTCTAATCTTATCTCTTCATGGCCAGGTATGAACTGGGTGATATATTTTGTTTTATGAGAATAAGCCTGTCATGTTTTCAAATCCTGGTTTTTATCATCACATATCTTATCATATCAGCAGGAACACATCAAAATTTTCTGTTTTGAGTGGTAGATATCTACCAGGTAGGCCTGAATCATGGTTACTTAGCCTAGCATAACAGTTACTCTAATTCATTAGGTCTTCTAAAACAAATAATTTAGGTGGTGGTTTTAATTCCAATTTCTATTGTATTTTTGACTGATAGTTATTGCTTCAATCCCTGGGGATAACTAAAAGGTTTAATGATGTTTAATTCAGTGTATGTGGGGTTCTCTTCATTGTTTATTAATGTCTGAATTCTACAGTGGCGGAATACCACCAAAAACAAATTTAATATTTACAACATTTCAAGAAAATTTTTCAAAATGTGATAACATTTTTATGTAACATTTGAATAAA